ATTTCAAAATGAGACACATACCACAATAGGATCCGTGCTTTAGTCTTCCCCACAGGAAAATTATTTTTAAAATACCTCACTATACCAGATTTCCCCCCCCCCTTTCACTCTTTTTTTTATACCAAGAATGCAGAATGGGGAAGTAATGCTATATATGCCAGAGACTATTTTGTGCTTTGTATGTCCAAAATAGGCACATGTAAGGAACTAATTGAAACAACCAGACTGCTGGAGCAAGTAACTTGTATTTTCAGCTTTCTTGCTTAGGGGTTAAGATTGCAAAGGCACTAGTCATATGTGGAGTAAGAGCATATCAGCATATACTTTTTTTCCTCATAACCAAAAGTCCCACAGAAAGGAACATTGCCATGAATAGCTAAGAGACTTATTGCACTTGCTGTGTGAATGCTACATTAATAAATGCTTAGAGAGATGCACACTTCCCATTGGCCATCTGAGATAATGATCTATAATATCTATCATCTTGAAGGAGAGACTTGTTCAAGGCATTCATATATTTGGTGTTTTTTCTTTTCTTCTTTTTCATTCTACAAGCACATTCTTTTATGATGAAAATTATCATGTACTCCCATTCCTGAAAAATCATGGATAACCCTCATGGTATATTGAGTGTTGTTAATGGAAGGGTTTTACTGTTATATAATTTTAGGTCAAGGGCAAAAGTAATCATTAGCAATTACTACATATCTAGAAAGTAATCAGGTATTTTAAATGATTAGGTAAATGACCAATCATTTGTAGTGCATGTATGGCGTAACGTAACTCTTCCCAGATAGAGGGAAAGTCCATAGAGATTCCTTTATGACAAAGTGGACAATAATTGAAATTGTTTGGGTGAGCGTAGCACTGTTACAGTTGTATCGACTTTCTTGTTTTCTATATATTAACTAGTTATATATTCCTTTAGCTGAGACTATGTTATAAATTCCTATTGAAAGCAGTAAACTCTGTTATGTAATTGGATTTTATGTTCTTAATGCTTATTTAAATTTTTGGTTTATATCTCTTCTTTTTCTTCTTTTTTTCTTTTTTCAAAGTTATACCATTATTTAATTGCTCAGAAAACTTATTAAGACATACAGTTTCCTTTTAGCAAACTAATTTGTGTTGAAAAAAGTGGTCAAAATATCCATATACCTCAATTTGTAATTGAGTCAGATATTGCGAAAAAGTTTTTTTGTACCGCAGACTGATTTACATTTAGTGTTGTGAATAATGGTTATTAACATTTACATGGACTATAAAAATGTTATGTTAATAAGCAGAACATGTACACAATTAATTTGAGATGTTTTATATCTGACTGGAAGATACAGGTCAGTCCCAATTTTTTAAAAAGGTGAGATTGTTTAACAAATTGTAAAGAGTTGTATTCAATATATTTTTATTCCTTATAAGGTTAATATACAATTTATCAGCAATTCCATGTACCTAGTTCATTGTTGTCAATAAGGAAGTGTTACTGATATTTTTAGTACCGTCATCAGCATTGGAAAAAAAGGAAAAAAAAGTATAATCGTAATACATGTATATGAAATAAATATTGACTGTTTAGAAACATAGTGTAGATAATAACTGTAGTGTATTTGGAAGACTGTGTGTTCTTCCTTTCCCTCATAGGGAAGGTATGAGTTGTTTCTTAGAGACATTAAAAGCTTCCTGTGCAAGCCAGAAACCCCTGTTGTGTTTCAACAAACGTGATGATGAATCATTCCTTTGTGTGTGGCTAAGGACAGGATTGAGTATTGGGGTGTGATGTGCGTAGGTTCCTTCCTTCCCTTCTTCATAGAGTAATAGAGAGAGAAGCTTAGTTTGTATTTAGAGATGTAAAGTATTTTTACAACACAGTTGCAAAAAAAAAAAGATTTTTTCTTTTTTTCTTTTTTTATGCACTCTTCATTAGGAAAAGTTTATTTGTCTTAGGCCTTATTATATGCTGTTTTATAGGAAGCTCTTTTCGCTCTTTTATGGAAAGGGTGTCTGGGAAGGGATGCATAGCAGGACATGAATTTATTCAGAATTTGTAAGCATTATTATTTTCTTTAGTATTGGGTACAAGAAATGGGGTGTTAAGTATATAACATCTATATAATGGAAAAAACAAAAAATGAATATATATCTTGACCATTTTACACAAAACTGGACTAACATTGGAAAGCGTTTTTTTCAGAAGTTTAGACATGGAAGTCCAGGGAAATTGGGATTGAATGTGTAATTTTTAAAAATAGGTTTTTCAGTTTTATTTGTTATTTTCTTTGAGGAGGGTGTTGCAAGGGTCAGTGAAAGGAAATTTTGATTTTCCTCTATTTGTGGAAAATTAAATACTTTAGATTTCTTGAATCAGTAGGGACCTTTTACTAGTTTCACCATCCTCGTTTTGCTTTCCTTAAGATGCCATTTGTTCATATTATGATAAATTTCATATATTTTATATTTTTTACATCGTTGTCAAGGAACAAATAAATTGTTGAAAAATAAG